ATGTTGAATCATGATTCATGAGTAGCGATTTTTACTTTTGTTTTAACGTTTGACACTCTCTACAATAATTATTTGTAGCGTTCAACGTTAAAAAAAAAAAAAACTAATGAAAAGTAAGTCTATAAAAACTTATTTTTTAATGAAAAGTCATTTTTAAAAGTATAGTGAATAGTATCAAAGAAAAATATAGATTTTTTATTAAAAATAAACAGTACAAGAAATATTTTGTTAAAACTCTTTAAAAAAAAGTGTCAAAATCGATACTCTAAATTTATTAGTGAAAAATGCTCGACGATCCAAAATTACTTTACTAAAAGATAGAATATGCGTTATCACTAATTCTATAATTTGCATGTACCTCTCCCTTGCCGGTAATCCAACTTTTACTTAGTGTACACTATCACGATCATATCATTTATGATCGATGTTCATCAATACGATAAGATTTTTGATGCTTGTGCCAAAGGTCTGCTGGCCAGAAACACAAGTATAATATTAATTAAGATTGTGATATCCACACCCTATTTTACTTCTCAGATATCTTTTTAATTTTCAGCCATAGGATAAGATGAATTGAAGAAAATCAACGAACATAAATTATCAAGGGGCGTATGAGAAGTAAAATGAGATGTGTGGATTAAGAAAGAAATAACATGATTTAGGGATAATAATTTTGAAAATAAGGCTTCTATTCATATGATTGAGGTAAGGAGATGAGGCAGCACTCTACACATATAATTCAAAAGTAAAAGATCTGTCACCAAACTTGTAAATATACTGTAGAAATAAGAAACTATGCTAGTGTTAGTTGCGTGATGCATGACGCAAGTATACACATTGCTGTTTATAGAGCTTATTGTGGGTGACACACTCATCAATAATTGTTATAGTACTATTGTCCGCCTACACTAAATCCTATTACAACTCAAATTGAATATAAGAAACACACTCATTTTAATGAGAAAAACTTACATGTAATGAGTTTCATGTTTTTATTATGTGTTCTGCAACACTCATTACGTGATTAGATCAAACAATGGTGTAGAAACGTAGGGAATGAAAAACCCCAAAGGCCATGAAAAACAAAAGAGGCCAAGTGACCTTAAAATTGACTTTCACTAATAAGATCTGTGAGTCTGTGACATTGGGGAAATGAAGATATTGCAAAAGTGGGTCCTCCTCAATTCATATAAAACCAACAGGATCCTTTCTAGATCTTTTTGGTGAAAATCCTAGAGTTTTGTGAATCATATCCGTTAATCGTATGTTGTACGGTTGGTTTTTGTCAAGTACTGTTTATATTTATTTTTAAATAAAAATATTTAAAATAATTTTTTACCATACGATGTACGATGAACGGACACGATTCACGGATCTCCGGTATCCTCATAAAGAGGATCCGACGAGGATCCGAACTCACTTGCAATGAGGATGCTCTCCGGATCCTCTTTGTGAGAATCTTGAAGATTCTCTAATTTATCGTACATCGTACGATCATTTTTCGAAATATACTATTTATATTTAATTTTAAATAAAAAATTTATAATAATTTCTTACCGCATAATATACGATAAACGACGTGATTAGAGGATCCGGGATCCTCACAAAGAGAATTGAATTGATCGTTCTCCCACTTGATCCCTCACTATGCTTTATTTATACTACATCCCCTTTGGCCTTTAGTACTAGAAACTAGCAAGAAAATGAATCTCTTCCAATATCTGAATCAAAACCAATCCCAAAAATCATCTCCAAATTTTCTCTTCCTCAGATCTTCACAAAAAAATACACAAATTTCTGCTAGCCACACCTACTAAATTTCCTCTGCAGTTTATCCCGACGAGAACCAGCGCACCGCAATACCGCCATCGGGAAAAATGAGCATCAAGAGAGGGAGCGAACCATTTCAATTTGCAATCCATGTGGTTAAAGGAAGATGGTTCTCAGTTTTTGCCTCATTTCTCATAATGGCAGGAGCTGGAGCTACTTACCTCTTTGGTGTCTACTCCAAGCAGATCAAGTCCTCTCTGGGCTATGACCAAACTACCCTCAACCTGCTAGGGTTTTTCAAGGACCTTGGTGCAAATGTTGGTGTCCTCTCAGGGCTCATTGGTGAAGTCACACCAACATGGTTTGTCCTCCTCATTGGCTCAGCCATGAATTTTGCAGGCTACTTCATGATTTGGCTTGCTGTCACTGCCAAAATCCCTAAGCCAAAAGTTTGGCACATGTGCCTCTACATTTGCATTGGAGCCAACTCTCAGAATTTTGCGAATACAGGAGCTCTTGTCACATGTGTGAAGAATTTTCCGGCTAGTCGCGGCGTTATGCTTGGATTGTTAAAGGGGTTTACAGGACTCAGTGGAGCTATGTTCACTCAAATTTACTTGGCGGTTTATGGAGACAACTCGAAATCCATGATTCTTCTCATTGCTTGGCTTCCGGCTGCGCTGTCGGTAATTTTCGTGTACACCATTAGGCCAATGAAGCTTGTTAGGCAACCCAATGAGCTCAGAGTGTTTTACCACTTCCTCTATGTCTCAATTGGTCTTGCTGTTTTCCTCATGGTTATGATTGTACTTCAGAAGCAGGTTGATTTCTCACAAGCTGCTTATGCTGGAAGTGTTTCTGTGGTTTGTTTTTTCCTTTTTGTCCCTCTTGGTATTGCAATTAGAGAGGAGTTAATCCTATGGAATCTCATGAAACAACCTGTTGATCCTCCAACCGAGTTAACTGTTAAGAAACTTCCGGCACAAGAAAGTGAAGCGAAAGAGGAGCAAGAAAAGAAAACAAAGATTTCTTGTTTTGTTGATGTATTCAACAAACCAAAAAGAGGAGAGGACTACTCAATCTTACAAGCATTGCTAAGCGTCGACATGCTCATTTTGTTCATCGCAACACTATGCGGGCTCGGGTCAAGCTTGACAGCAGTGGACAATTTGGGGCAAATTGGTGAGTCTCTTGGATATCCCACTAAAACAATAAGCTCATTTGTGTCATTGGTGAGCATATGGAACTACTTTGGGAGGGTTTTTTCGGGGTTTGTCTCCGAAAGCCTATTGGTAAAATGGAAGGTCCCCAGACCCCTAATGATGACTCTTGTTCTTCTTCTGTCCTGCGTTGGCCACCTCCTCATTGCATTTCCTGCCCCGGGATCAGTCTATGTGGCATCCGTGATCATCGGATTTTCTTTCGGTGCTCAATTGCCATTGCTTTTCGCAATCATTTCCGAGCTCTTTGGGCTCAAGTACTACTCCACATTGTTCAATTGTGGACAGCTTGCAAGCCCCCTCGGGTCCTATATTCTGAATGTGAAAGTTACCGGAATGCTGTATGACAGAGAAGCATTGAAGGAGTTGGCAAAGAGTGGGATGGCTAGGTCTTCGGTGAAGGAGCTGATTTGCCTTGGGAACCAATGTTATAGGTTGGCTTTCTCAATTTTAACCGCTATAACATTCTTTGGTGCGGTTGTTTCGTTGATTTTGGTGGTGAGGACAAGAGAGTTTTACAAAGGTGATATTTATAAGAAGTTTAGAGAGGAAGCAGAGGACTCTTAGATTTTTTTTTGTGTTTTTTGGAACACCACCATCTCTTGCATTTGACAAGATGTGGAATTTGATATGTTATGAACCCAGAGTTGTTGGATTAGAGTTTCTTGAGAAATGAAGTGCAACCAAGAAGCACTTGGACATTTTCGTGGTGAACAATATATGTATACGCTATTCTACTGTCAATTTGAACCACTCATTCTAATAAAAATGAATGTGGTCAAATGTATATCCCTACTACACCATACAACTTTTGTCACCTAATTTCTTCAGTTCGCAAAAAAAAAAAAAAAAACAACATATATATATATATAGACTTGACGTGTAAACGAACAAAACTTTGGACATATCAGAGCTGCCATCCATTTACCACAAATCCATGTCACTGCAGGTAATTTCACCAGCTCCACCAGCTCCACCATCTCTTTTTCTTGTTTTTCTCCTCTCTTGAAATTGTAGAATAAGAACTGAAAACTTGAGCATGTTTCCATGTTAGGCATAGCCATCAAACAGATGAGTTGGATAAACCATGGTCAAAATTTACGAATATTTTTTTTCTTTCAATTACACATTGTAGGAAATCGAGTTATAAACTTACCATAATCGTAATCTATTACCTCACTTTCTCCCTCGGGAAAAAACTTACGCGAATCTATAGAGTTATACGCAAGTTATAGACTCTATTAGTTATTATACGTAATCCTCTCCGTGTAGTGATATGAATAATTAGATTCAAGTCCAAATGGGAACAAAACTGATCAGCTTATGCTACTTAATGCTACGGTAGTAGTGATATTTTTTTTTTCATTTATAAGTGGGAGATTTTAAGTTTGAATTTCGTGAATGACAAATTTGATACAATTTATTACTCAATCCTTTCGTGTAAATATATTGTTGTATTGTAAAAAGAAAAATGCTAAGAAGACTCTCTAAAAAATGGGACTCTCCATGGACTATGACACCTCATTTTTTTTGCACAACGTTGACATAAAAATTAACATTAAAAGAGAATCCATAAAGAATCTCGCTTTGAGAAAATCTCCTTAGCATTTCTCTTGAAAAAAAAAAAAAAACCAACAAGCTCGTAGGAAAAAAACACTCGTGTGAAGAGTAATATACACTGCAATGGTCTTTAATTTGTATTTACGACTAGCGGATTATGTTTTAATGAGGACCAATTGTTCATAATCTGTACCTATAAAAAAAAGGGAATAAATGGAAAAGATCATTGGCCCATTTTGCCACATCACTTTTACATCATTTTCTCATGTTCTTCAATGGGTAAGATAAGTGTTTGCTTACATGATTTAAACAATTATTAATTACCAAAATAAGTAGAAATAATTTTTTATTATTTTTTGCCAAAGTAGAAATAAATATAACCATATGGGAAATTAAGATAAGTTCTTACTCAAATTGAAAAAAAAAATGAAAAAAAAGGATATTTGGATAGGATTTTAAAAACAGAAACCACAGAAATCTTTGATTTTGCATTGGAAGACAATAACATTGGATTAACATGATAAGCATGAACCTTAATTAATGGCTCACACAAAATAACTCGCTCGCTTTACTCGACCTAATTTGCCTATTATAATACAATTCCCACATCCCCATTTGTCACATTTCCATCAGTTAATGGGGGATCTTGGCACTTCACCCTCTCATAAATCTGCCACTCGATGCCAAATCAACCCAAATCCCATCTTTAATTTCTCTCTTCTTAAATCTCTATCAGAATTGCTAGTGTCTTTGCTCGAAGTTGGTTAAAAGCATTCACTTTCTGCGATCGAGGTCCTCAATACGATACTCCCATTCTCCAGTTTGTATCGAACTTGGGGTACCACAGCCATAGCCAAAATGAGTAGTTCTAGGAGCAGCAGCACCAGCAATGGAGGTGGACCGTGTGAATTTGCATTGCAGGTGGTGAAAGGAAGATGGTTCACGGTTTTTGCATCTTTTCTGATCATGGCAGGAGCTGGTGCCACCTATCTCTTTGGTGTATATTCCAAAGACATCAAGTCCACTCTTGGATACGACCAAACTACCCTCAACATGCTAGGCTTCTTCAAGGACCTTGGTGCAAATGTTGGTGTCCTCTCAGGGCTAATTGGTGAGATAACCCCTACCTGGTTTGTCCTTCTACTAGGATCAGGCCTGAATTTTGTTGGGTATTTCATGATTTACCTTGCTATCACTGAAAAAATTGCAAAACCTAAAGTTTGGCAGATGTGCCTTTACATTTGCGTTGGAGCCAATTCTCAAAATTTTGTAAACACCGGAGCTCTTGTCACTTGTGTAAAAAATTTCCCAGAAAGTAGAGGTGTAATGCTTGGTCTGTTAAAAGGTTTTACTGGGCTCAGTGGAGCTATTTTTACCCAGCTTTACCTTGCCATTTACCCTAATGACTCAAAATCATTGATTCTTTTAATTGGGTGGCTGCCTGCTGCACTATCAGTAGTTTTTGTTTACACCATTAGGCCAATGCAAGTGGTTAGGCAGAAAAATGAGATAAGGGTTTTTTACCACTTCCTCTACATCTCAATCTCCCTTGCATTGTTCATCATGGCTATTAGTTTGATTCAAAGGAAGGTTGCTTTCTCCCAAGCTGCCTATGCTGGAACTGCTACCGTTGTTTGCCTGTTTATGTTTATCCCTCTCGGGGTTGCCATTCGAGAAGAGCTAGTCCTCTGGAACCTCAAGAAAAAAACAGTTGATCCACGGACTGAGATCGCTGTTGAAAAGCCGAGCGAAATCCAAGAAGTTAAGGATGATTTGGATCCGGCGTCAAGTTCCTCAGCTGTGCAAGATCAAAACAAAAAGAGCACATCTTGTTGCGGCGACATATGCAAAAAACCAACAAGAGGTGAAGATTATACAATTTTACAAGCACTTTTAAGTACGGACATGATTATTTTGTTCATTGCAACATTTTGTGGACTTGGATCAAGTTTGACAGCAATTGACAATTTAGGGCAGATTGGTGAGGCATTAGGATATCCAACCAAAACAATAAGCACATTTGTTTCTTTAGTGAGCATTTGGAACTATTTTGGTAGGGTTTTCTCTGGGTTTGTCTCAGAAACCCTAATGGGGAAGTGGAAAGTCCCTAGAACACTCATGATGACCATCATGCTTGTTCTATCATCCATTTCCTACCTCTCCATCGCCTTCCCATTCCGGGGTTCGGTCTACGTGGCATCGGTGGTAATCGGAGTCTCTTTCGGCGCTCAACTGACATTGCTTTTCACAATTATTTCCGAGCTCTTTGGCCTGAAATACTATGCTACATTGTTCAATTGTGGGCAGCTTGCAAGTCCCCTTGGGTCCTATATTCTCAATGTGAAGGTGACCGGGATGCTCTATGATAGAGAGGCACTGAAGCAGCTAGCAAAGAAAGGGCTGACGAAGGCGTCGGTGAAGGAGCTTACTTGCCTTGGAAGTCAATGCTATAGGCTGTCTTTCTGTATTCTGGCTGGTATCACATTCTTTGGTGCTCTTGTTTCACTGATTCTAGTGGTAAGGACTAGAGAGTTCTACAAAGGTGATATTTATAAGAAGTATAGAGAGCCTGCATAGATTTCTGCTTGGTTTAATTCTCACCGGGTCAAAAACTTGAAATCTAACAGCATCTGGGAGGGCACTCTCTATATTATTATTGTTATGATTATATTTTCTTTTTCAATAGATTTCAGCTAAATTAGCTAGATAGAAAGTCTTTTTATTATCTAACCCTTTTTGAAGTGGCTGGTCCAAACCATGCTCCTTATCTTTAACCAGTCATGAATTTCTTTTGTGGCTTAATTTTTGGTTGAAGAATTGCTTGTGATTTCGAGGTTCATGATCCCAAATATTAATGTCGTCCTGAATGGAGTGGCTATATTAGTGACAGTGTTATTCTTAATCTATAAAGCACGGATATAGAGTAGGAGGGGGATTTGGGAGTATGGAAACTCAAAGAATCTCAATTTAGGAATGTGACTTGATCGGTGCTTCATAATTCGCAATGCTTTGCTTAAAACAAAGGAAATAAAACTTGTTAGAAAATATTAAAAATTGCATATGAAGTCACCCTATCTAATATCCACTCTTTGTCTCCACGTTTAGGGAGCTCAAAACCATTTCTCCAAAGAGGGATTTTCCTTGAACATGCTCCAATGTATCATGATCAAATATTCGACATAAATAAATAAAAATCTTATGCTATAATACAAGAGGGTTAGTACTATAAATTGGCTTGAAACAGTTCGAGCTTGCACCGAGGTCAGCTTGTGTTTGGCTTGTTGAAGCTCGATTGACTCGTGAAAGAACCAAGTCAAGCCTAGTTTGGTTCAATTAGAAAATAAGCCCAGTTTGAACATTAGTATGTTCAACTCGTAAAGCTCATGAGTAGCTTGAATTTTTAGAGGGAATTAATGACTCTACTATTATCTTCCATTGGGTTTCATCCATACAAAAAATTATAAAAAATAAAAAAAAAGTTTATATTTTACATCTTAAATCAATGTGTTTAAATTTTTTATGTTGCATTGCTTATATTTCAATTTTCATATACTATAATTTTTCCGAGATTAACACGGAAAGGCGGAACTAATACCTTGTATAAGCACTTTCCCATCAGCACGAGCTTCTTTTCGTAGTCAACACAGGGAAGAGGAAAGCTAAATTCAGTCGCACATTAACACGGAAAGGCGGAACTAATATCTTGTTTTTAATCTTTGTCATCCTTGTTCTATTCTTAATGTCAACTTGCTATAAATAAATGGCCTAGCCAGCTAACCCTATTGGTTAACTGAAAGAAGGGACCTGACCAAATGCATCGTAGAGATCAGGAAAGCATTTGTGTGTGTCGCTTTGCGCTTGACGAAGATGCTGCTACTTTAAGTCAGTTCCATTTTGTCCGTCAGGAATTACAAATGATTCAAGGGACCTGTCTATTGATAACTTCCGGTCCACTACCTTTCCCATTTTAAAACGCTTTGGAGTTCCCTCAGAAGGGTTGGAGCTGGAAATAAAGAGTCGTGGATGCGCTCCTAAAGGTGGCGGTGAAGTTGTTTTGGCAATCCCAGTTGTTCGAAGTCTGACAGTGAGTTTTTGAGACTTATGAGGGGATGGTCAAGAGGATTAGAGGGGTGACATTCTCAACGAGAGTGTCTGTAGTCTGTACAGTTTGAAAATACTATGGTGCATGCCGCTCGTGAACTCTTTAATCCCTTCCTTCCAGATGTTCACATATTTACCGACCATAGAGATGGCCAACAAGCTGGAGAGTTTATCTTCAATCTAGATATTATTATAATTTTACGAGGTGGGATATATTTGATGAACTAATTTGGAAGTACTTTTGGAGTTTTATCATGTCGACTTGCTAGTAACACTCTGACTCTTACAGAAAACAATGACTTTATGGCAGGTCATCTGGTTATGGAATTTCACTAGTTGCAGAAACCACCTCCGGGTGCTATATCTCTGCGGATACAACTATTTCTTATGCACAAGGGGGACAAATAGATGAACTTGACTATGAGAAGAAATAGCTGATGCCTCCGGAGGATGTTGGTATGAAAATTGCTTCTGTTCTGCTTGAGGAGATTGGGCAGGGTGGAGTGGTAGATTCAAATCACCAGGTTCGTTATCTATTGAATTCTCATACTTTCTTAGTTCATTTTTGAAGCTTCATACGGTCATACCATAAGGCAACAAATGGAGATATATGCACTAGAACAGAAAAGGACTAGTTGAAATGAAAAGTAATCTGGATGAATTAATTATTTGGCACGATTTTAGTAGGAGAAACACCGCTGAGTTCCTTTCTGATTTTATCAAGTTCCTTGCAGGTGCTAGATATACCTTTTTCCATTTCAGTAACAGATCCCATTTGTCAGATAACGATAACAACGATATGGATTTATCATACGATAAAATCATTCAGGACTTTTGTTATTGGCTTTCTAATTTCTGTTTAGCTTCTGATAGTTAAACTCCGCCTATGTAAGTTTATCTTACATTGCCGGTCCCAAGCCCGGATAAAGGAGGAGGGGGAGGGCGTCAGGTAGTCGACAGCCGGCACTCCACAGTTACGTCGAATCCTTATGACAATGAATCCAGAACGAAATCGCGCTAAAGCTAGGACGTCACCCGTAAGTGGCGCGCTGTGTGGCCCGAGCACAGTGATAAGTGAGTAAGGGTCGCTGTATCTCCATCGGCACCCGGATGCAGTGTTAAATGAGCAAGGGGGCCATAGAAACTTCTTTTCGAACGACTCCACTCAAAGTTGTTTGGGAGCATATGCTCCTATCAACTTTACACAAGACACACAAAAGAAGTACTTTGATCCTATTAGACGGGGGATGGTGAAGAAGCTAGGACAGAAGGGTAGAGTTTAAGAGAGTAGAATGCATTTAGGAACGTGGAATATAGGAACCTTAATGGGAAAATCTATGGAAGTAGTGGAAGTTATGGTGAGGAGAAGGATAAATATTATGTGCCTACAAGAAACTAAGTGTGTTGGTCTTAAGGCAAAGGATCTAGAAAACTCAGGGTTTAAGCTTTGGTATTCGGGCACAAATAGAACGAGAAACGGTGTTGGCATCATTGTGGACAAGACCTTGACACAAGATGTTGTAGATGTCAAGAGGGTAGGAGATAGAATCATGGCAATCAAGATTGTAATAGGACAAGAACTCATCAATGTGATTAGTGCGTACGCACCTCAAGTAGGGTTGGATACGAGTTCGAAGGAGAAATTTTGGGAAGACCTTGGAGACTTAGTGCAAGGAATTGCTCAGACGGAATTATTTATAGGAGGAGATTTAAATGGACACGTGGGCAGGGAGACAGGCAACTATGGAGGTTTTCATGGTGGCCATGGTTTTGGGGAGAGAAATGAGGAGGGGGAAGCTATCTTGGATTTTGCAATGGCATATGATCTCTTCTTAGCCAACACCTTCTTTAAGAAGAGAGAAGAACATGTGATCACCTACAAGAGTGGGTCGTCAAAAACGCAAATAGATTTTCTTCTAATGAGGAAAGGGGATCGTATAACTTGTAAGGATTGCAAAGTTATACCGGGGGAGAGCTTGGCTAATCAACATCGCTTGTTGGTGATGGATGTACATATCAAAAGAGTGAGAAAAAAGAATAAGACTTGGAAGTGCCCAAAGACTAGATGGTGGAATCTAAAAGGAGAAAAACAAGTCATTTTCAAAGAGCAAGTAATCACCCAGTGTGTGTGGGATAGAGAAGGGGAAGCTAGCCAAATGTGGGATTCCATGGCTAGCTGTATCCGAAAAGTAGCAAAAGAGGTATTAGGAAAGTCCAAAGGCTTTGCTCCACACCAAAATGAATCTTGGTGGTGGAATGAGGAGGTACAAACAAAGGTGAAGGCTAAGAAGGAATGTTGTAAAGCCTTATACAAGGATAGGACCGATGAAAATGGTGAAAGGTATAGAAGAGCGAAGCAAGAGGCGAAGAAAGCTGTGAGAGAAGCTAAGTTAGCGGCTTATGACGATATGTATAAGCGATTAGATACCAAAGAATGAGAGTTGGATATCTATAAACTAGCTAGAGCAAGGGAAAAGAAGACAAGGGACCTAAACCAAGTGAGGTGCATCAAGGATGAGGATGGAAAGGTTCTTGCTACAGAGAACGCGGTCAAAGACAGATGGAGAGGTTATTTTCATAATCTTTTCAATGAAGGACATGAAAGGAGTACTCCTTTAGGGGAGTTGAGTAACTCAGAAGAGTGTAGAAACTACTCCTTTTATCGTCGAATAAGGAAGGAAGAAGTGGTTGTAGCTTTGAAGAAGATGAAGCATAGAAAAGCAGTGGGCCCAGACGATATACCGATTGAAGTGTGGAAAGCCTTGGGAGAGACAGGTATAGCATAGCTCACTGACCTTTTCAATAGGATTTTGAAAACGAAGAAGATGCCAAATGAGTGGCGAAAGAGCACCTTGGTGCCTATTTACAAGAATAAGGGCGACGTACAAAATTGCATGAACTATAGGGGTATTAAGCTAATGAGTCATACAATGAAGCTCTGGGAGAGAGTCATTGAGCATAGATTGAGGCAAGAGACACGGGTTTCGAACAACCAATTCGGGTTCATGCCAGGGCGCTCAACCATGGAGGCAATCTATCTCTTGCGAAGATTGATGGAAAGATATAGAGATGGGAAAAAAGATTTACACATGGTCTTTATAGATTTGGAAAAAACGTATGATAGGGTCCCAAGAGACATTCTTTGGAGGATTTTAGAGAAGAAATGAGTACGAGTAGCATATATCCAAGCTATAAAGGATATGTATGAAGGAGCAAAGACTGCCGTAAGAACTCATGAAGGAAAAACCGAAAGCTTCCCCATAACTGTAGGATTACATCAAGGCTCATCCTTAAGTCCTTACCTTTTTGCGTTGGTAATGGATGAGTTAACAGGACATATTCAAGATGATATTCCTTGGTGTATGCTTTTCGCAGACGATATAGTGTTGATAGATGAAACTCAGGAAGGGGTAAATGCGAAGCTTAACCTTTGGAGAGAAGTGTTGGAATCTAAAGGTCTTCGCCTAAGCCGATCAAAGACAGAATATATGGAGTGCAAGTTCAGTGCAAATGGAGGCCAAAATGAGTTAGGGGTAAGGATCGGAGATCAGGAAATACCAAAGAGCGACCGTTTTCGCTACCTAGGATCTATCTTGCAAAAGAAAGGAGAATTAGATGGAGATCTCAACCATAGAATACAAGCTGGATGGATGAAGTGGAAGAGTGCATCCGGCGTGTTGTGTGATCGTCGTATGCCACTGAAGCTTAAGGGAAAATTTTATAGGACGGCAATAAGGTCGGCGATGCTGTATGGCACAGAATGTTGGGCGGTAAAGCACCAACACGTACACAAAATGGGTGTAGCGGAGATGAGGATGCTTCGTTGGATGTGTGGGCACACGAGAAAGGATAAGATTAGGAATGAGGATATCCGAGGTAAAGTAGGAGTAGCCGAAATTGAAGGAAAACTGAGAGAAAATCGGTTACGGTGGTTTGGACATGTGCAAAGAAGGCCTACTGACGCTCCGGTTAGAAGATGCGACTACGGGACAAAGGTTCAGGGCCGAAGGGGTAGAGGAAGACCTAGGAAAACTTTGGAAGAGACTCTAAGAAAAGACTTAGAGTACTTGGATCTAACGGAGGATTAAGGGAACACTACCTCAACCTACATGCTCCACTCACAAAGCTTCAACATACAAGCTTCAACAAAAGAAAAATTCAAAGAACTTAGTGAAGAAGGCTTTGGTATATTTAACACAATACGTTGAAATGAAACAAAGCTTATTTATTGATATCTCTAAGAAGTTACAAATATGTACATATACACGAGTCAAAATAAACAAACAAGAGGGAGCCTTCACAAAGGTTTCTTAGGAGAAGTTTTAACAGTCGGCAGAGCCTCAGAAAGAGAAGGCACCAGAGGGGGATCATTTGGAGCTTCATTACGCGGTACAGCCCCAGAAGACGAAGGCAATAAATGCCTTTGGAACAAACCCACAAACCTCTAATGATCATGTAAAATCTGACCATCAGATTCCTTCATCTGGTCAAGCTTCCTCTTCATGTTTGTAGCATAGTCATGAGCGAGCCGATGCAACTGTTTATTCTCATGCTTGAGCCCTCTAATCTCCTGTTTGAGACTCATCACTTCAGCCGTCAATGATTCAACTTGGCGGGTTCGAGCAAATAGGCGTTGGGCCATATTAGACACAGAACCTGCACACTGAACACTGAGAGCCAGAGAATCCTTAACAGCCAACTCATCAGACCGTTTGGAAAGTAGTCTATTATCTTTGGGAGTGAGAAGGTTCCTGGCCACCACCGCAGCGGTCATATCATTCTTCATCACGGAATCCCCAACGGTAAGAGGACCAGTAGGGGATAAGAAGGATGGGCGCCATATGTTGTCTGGAGAAGGCGTGGCTGCCTCTTCAACAAGGTTCAAGTCAAAACGACGGTCGGAGGGGCCAGACATTTTCAAAGGTGTTGAAGAGAAAAGAGGTCGGATAAATCAAGATCTTAGAAATGCAAGAAGGGAGCTTCTACTGGTGGAGATTCAAGTGTGCTTTGGAACTTAATACCAGCCTCTATAAAAATCCGCACTCAATGGAGCTTCAGAAATTGAAGAGGCGCCTGCTCAGAAATCGAAAAGGCGTTTGCTTTCTCAAAAGTTGGGCTGCTCAGAGACCACGAGGGTCGATCTCAGGAATCGAAGAGGCGTTTGCTTTCTCAAAAGCTGGGCTGCTCAAAGACCACGAAGGTCGATCGCAGAAATCGAAGAGGCGCTTGCTTTCTCAAAAGCTGGGCTGCTCAGAGACCACGAGGGCCGATCTCAGAAATCGAAGATGCATCTGCTTTTTCAGCCTTGTCAGCACCTGTCACATGCATTCAACTTTGCGGAAATTACGGGCATTCTGTCGAAGATTTCTAGTGAAGTAGAAAGCACGTGAATGTTACTGTTCAATCATTCACTTTCCACACGCAACATCAGCTCACGGGTACCACAGATAACTTTGCCAAAAATCTCTTACAAAGTTTAGACACGTGAAGCTTGCAGCTCTCATTACATCGCTATGACCAAGAAGGGTAAAAGAATAGCAAAGAAACAGCACTAACAAAGTTTAGACACATAAATTTTAAAGGTCTAGCTACCATATTATTACCCACAAGGGTAAAGGAACAGGACCATTGCTGGATAATTAGAAAGTCCCTATGTGCTCCGTGGCAAGGTAGACTAGCAAACAGGCCTAACCTTTACTCACATTCGAGAAAACACTCCCAACAAGATTGCTTGCTTCAAGATCGAAGAGGCACCGTCCTCCGAATCTCGAGAGCCAGACTTCCAACATGATTACTTTCTCAAAAAGCGACGAGACACCGCTCTCCGAATCTCGAGAGCCAAACTCCTAGCAGGATTGCTTTCTCAAAAATCGAAGAGGCACCGTTCTCCGAATCTCGAGAGACAGATCACCGACAGGATTGCTTGTTCGAAAATCGAAGAGGCACCGCTTTCTCAACTTCGAGAGCCCCTTAGATAAAGCTTGTCTGTAATCTTCACACCGCTTTCTCAACTTCGAGAGCCAGATCTCCTTGGATAAAGCTTGTCTGTAATCTTCACACGTAACATCAGCTTTCCAGATACCACAGACCACTTTTTCAAAGTGCTCTGATAGAGTTAAAACACTTGAAGCTGGCAGCTCCCACTACCGTGCTATGACCAAGCAGGGTAAAAGAATAGTATTACTCCTTGTTAGGGAGACTCCTATATATGTCGACCTCCATCCTCAAGGGACAGGCAAACCTGCAAAAATGCTCAACCCTTCCTCATATCTGAGAGGGCACTCCCAATGAAGCCTCTCGAAATACTCAGCTTTCTTTCCCCCCGAGAATACCTCTGCAAACAAGCTACACTAGAGCAAGAATATCTCATATCATCAGGGTTAAAAGCTAGAGTATCCTATATCATGCTTTTTCCCTGTCTTTTCCTTTGGCCTTGTTCTTACCTGCAAGACAAGGAGAAAGAGAGCAATCAGTCAGCACTTGGAATCAAGCTTCTAGTCTGGAACTGATTGCCTGGAACCCCATTGCTCTCGAGTACTCATCTTCAACATCTTATGCTTCCCGAGAAGATACCACATCTGCCTGAGGAACAAATAGGGCAAGTGAGAAGGATACAAGGAAGCATGTGGAGACAAGCGCAAGAGAACACGTGCCGATACATCCACTACTTTGTCAACAGCAAAAGTATCCCATATCAGCAGGGTCGAACGAACTCTAGATTTGATGGACTTGTTTTGACCCTCAAATTCTTCAGTCGGCCTTAAACTCTGGCGGAAACAAGAAAACCCTCCAGCTCAGTTCAAGAATAAGCATGTGGAAAGTTACTTCTTCAAAAGCAAAAGTATCTCATATCACCTTTTCTCCTTTTCTTCTCTTTATCCTTCATGCTACCTGCAAGATAAGGAAAAGGATAACAATCAGCCGGAACTCGAAATCAAACTTCTGATCTGTGACTGATTGCTTGGAGCTCTGATTGCTTACCTTGTCTGTCACCTCTTTCAGCAGATCCCCTAGCTCGGCGACTTGGGGGACTCCTACTACATGGTTTGTATCGCGCTTGACCAAGCCTGAAACTACAAGTAAGCGTCAAGTGAAATTGATACATTACCTTGTGCATCTCCACCAGTTAAAGATACCACCCCTGGAGGGAGGAAGAGTACTTCCAAAAAAGATGCCACATCTACCTATAAGACAGATAAGGCAAGTGAAGACGATACCACACTTCGGTACTTAAAAGTTTCATGATTACGAGATCATTCTTCCACAATATTTCCTAATGTCATTTGTACTAAATCATTCACTTGTACTCACTAAAGGAGAGCTTGAACCTATATACTGTGTAAACCCTTCACAATTAATGAGAACTCCTTTACTCCGTGGACGTGGCCAATCTGGGTGAACCACGTACATCTTGTGTTTGCTTCCTGTCTCTATCCATTTACATACTTATCCACACTAATGACCGGAGCAATCTAGCGAAGATCACAAACTTAATATTTAAGATGATATTCTTTGGTGTATGCTTTTCGCAAACGATATAGTGTTGATAGATGAAACGCAGGAAGGGGTAAACGCGAAGCTTAACTTTTGGAGAGAAGTGTTGGAATCTAAAGGTCATCGCCTAAGCCGATCAAAGACAGAATATATGGAGTGCAAGTTCAGTGCAAACGGATGCCAAAATGAGTTAGGGGTGAGGATCGGAGATCAGGAAATACCAAAGAGCGACCGTTTTCGCTACCTAGGATCTATCTTGCAAAAGAACGGAGAATTTGATGGAGATCTCACCCATAGAATACAAGCTGGATGGATGAAGTGGAAGAGTGCATCCGGCGTGTTGTGTGACCGTCGTAGGCCACTGAAGCTCAAGGGAAAATTTTATAGGACGGCAATAAGGCCGGCAATGCTGTATGGCATAGAATGTTGGGCGATAAAGCATCAACACGTAGGTGTAGTGGAGATGAGGATGCTTCGTTGGATGTGTGGGCACACGAGAAAGGATAAGATTAGGAATGAGGATATCCGAGGTAAAGTAGGAGTAGCCGAAATTGAAGGAAAGAGGAGAGAAAATCGATTACGGTGGTTTGGACATGTGCAAAGAAGGCCTACTGACGCTCCGGTTCGAAGATGTGACCATGGGACAGAGGTTCAGGGCCGAAGGGGTAGAGGAAGACCTAGGAAAACTTTGGAAGAGACCTTAAGAAAAGACTTAGAGTACTTGGATCTAACGGAGGACATGACACAAAACCGAGCGCAATGGCATTCTAGGATTCATATAGCCGACCCCACTTAGTGGGAAAAGGCTTTGTTGTTGTTGTTGTTGTTGTTGTTCTGATAGTTAGCTTGCTGCTATTTGGTTTTGCAGGGCAGCTTCTGCTTGTTTCATCTTTCTGCATTATGTCCACAAGATGTTCAAAAGTTCAGGTCGAAAAGTTCTCTCTTTATGGGATAGAAACATTCAGAAACATCAACGATTTTCTGTGAGTTAAATTTGCCAGTACGCCATGCACATCAACAAGTATTGTGATACTCAAGTGTGCGGGCTGCGCGTTGAACAACCTATGTAGAAAGATCTCTTGATAGTCATAACTGATATATGATTTTTGTATATCAAGCGGCATATTTCTTTTATGATAAAGTGTTGTCACAAGGCCTTCCATGCATCAGTTGCGGAAGAATGCAACTTCATGTCTTAGTTTGTCATTTGCTCTTTAGTTCGGACACAATTACATAAACCTCAGTTATGAAGTTCGAAGTTTTGCAACTTTTGACACTTTAGTTCAGATTTTGTTGAATATCTTCTCGAACTGGATATAGGAAGTGTGATAACACTTAACTACACATGGTTTTTCGGTGCCTACCAAGAGGTTAATGGTGAGATATGTATTGATTTTTCGATTTTTCGATTTTGGAAATGTTTGGACTTATGAGTGGAATTTGTCCTAAACTACATAATCTAAACATAATTGGCCTAAAAAGTTAGGCAAGCTACTTTATCATCTTATTGTTAGAGTTATGTAGAGAATGCCACTTGTCTTTGTATTAGTGGCTGTTGAGTTTTGTATCTAGGGTGTTATGTTTTGTATGAGTATAAATAGCAGAATTACATTGTATTGATTAAGTTAACAGTAATAACAAAATATGTTGCAAAAGATCGTCTTCTCTCTTTCTTTCTTTCTGATATTCATTATCTTTCTTCATACCTAAGTTTTCTACATTTCTTAGTAATGTTGTCATGGTATCTTCGCCGATACGGTTAACACATTCGGTTGTCGATCCTTCTTGCTTCAGCTCTCGTTTTCTCTTTCGTGGATTGTTGCTGTGATTTGTCGATCGTCGTCAGTGTTCAGGTTGTGGATTTCGATTCAGTTGCAGTCGGAGGGTTCTGATTTCTGTCGCTAGTCTTCGAAGTCGGTGCTCTGCACAACCCTAGAAATTGGGGATTTTTGGTGTTCTTGAGCTGTTGTTCATTGTCGCTAGTTGCTGAGGTGATTTATTCTCTATGTTACGGTTGAATTCCTGATTATTGTTGAAGATCTCTACTGCAACCTAATCTGTGGAAATTGTTGTTGCGGATTCTTGATTTTTGTTGAAGATCTCTACATTTCTCTGCTGTGATATTACTCCTTCTTGATTCTTGTTCTTGGTTCTTTTCGACTATCTGTGGTATACTCTCTTATGATTCACGATTTGTTAATTGTCATTTGTACAAACATGGTTACTACTGCTCAATTGGCTCTTACACAATCTCCGATTTCCTCACTGATTCCCAGTGTTGGTAATATTGTTACGGTTAAACTTGATGATTCCAATTATGTTACTTGGAACTTTCAACTGGAGTTGTTATTGGATGGTAATGGAATTCGAGGTTTTCTTGATGGCTCAATTCCTTGTCATGCACGTTTTGATGACTCGGATTCTGATAATGATACTGAGGAACATGCACAAACTGTAACTGATGCATACAAAATCTGGAAGATTCATGATAAGGCTTTAATGACACTCATTACTGCTACTTTGTCCACTGCTGCATTGTCTTGTGTAATTGGATGTACAAGTTCGAAAGACATGTGGACTTCTCTTCGTGAAAGATTTGCCAATATGACTCGGACTAGCATTGTTCAAATGAAAATTGATCTTCAGAATATTAAGAAGGGTTCTGAGAATATTGATGCCTATTTGCAACGAATCAAAGATGCTAGGGATCAATTGGCTGCAGTTGGGGTGTTCATCTCCGATGAGGACATTGTTATTGTTGCATTGAGAGGCTTACCTCCTGAGTTTAATACCATCAAAGCAGTGATTCGTGGTCGTGAAAATCTGGTGTCTCTTAAAGAGCTTAGATCACAACTGAGGGCTGAAGAATCTACATTAGATGAGACCACTCGACAGATTCCTCTTATGTCTGCCATGCGTGCTCAATCCACTGGTGCTATTTTTGATGTTGGTGGTTCCTCGAACACAAAACCTTATTCTTCAGGTTCTAGTTTTGGTCAGTCCTCTGGCTCTGTGCTGCCCTTTCCCCAGCAGTTTGCCTCAATGTCATTCATGCCTCAGTTTCCAGTTTCTGGTCAGCAGGCTTTTGTGTCTCAATCTGGCTCGGGTACATACAATAATTTTAGGGGGCACAACTTCAAATCCAAAGGGAAAGGCAAGAAATTCTTTTCTGGGGGTCAATCTTCTCATACTCAACCTTTCACTTATAGTGTAAATCCTTTCTCCCAGTCTTCAATTCAGCCTCTAGTCCCACAATCGTCTCATAATCCTCAACAAATGTGTCAGATATGTGAAAGGAAAGGTCATACTGCACTCACTTGCTTTCAACATGGTTGTCAAATCTGTCATCGTGTTGGGCATACTGCAGCTACATGTTTTGACAGAAATTCAGCTCCCAATTCATCATTTCCTTCTTCACAGTTCTACCATGCCTATCCTCAACAACCTCATGGATCAGCTCCACATCCGATGCAGTTTCAAGCTCCACCTCCTGGATCAGCTCATATGTCATACAATTCAGCTTCTCCCGGGTCCCCTCAATTCTTTCCTCCTTCTGGTACTTCATATCACAATCCTCCTGTTGCTGTGAATGTGCGGGCTCCAGTATCACCTTCTGCACCACAATCAGAGTATTGGCTTCTAGACTCGGGCGCCACCAATCATATGACTAGTGATTTGTCTAATCTTCATGCTGCGGCTCCGTATCCTGCTAATGATACTGTCACTGGTGCAAATGGTGAAGGTTTACTTATTGCTAATTTTGGCAGTTCTAATCTTCACACTAAGTCTCACAATTTCAGATTGAATTCTGTTCTGCATGTTCCTCAATTGTCTCAACACTTGCTGTCTATGCATCAATTGTGTAAAGATAATAATTGCAGATGTATTGTTGATGAATTCTCTGTTTGTGTACAGGACAAGGTTACCAAGAGAACATTGTTCCACAGCCTGAGTAACAATGCAGTTTATCCTATTCATGTGCTCAAACCTTCCACTGGTCCTCCCGCTGCGTTTCTTGGCCAAAAAGTTAGTTCTCTTCTATGGCATAGTCGGTTGGGCCACCCTACCAATAATATTGTACAAATTGCCCTTACTAAGTCTTCCATTCCATTTTCTAGTACCTTAAACCCTCAGCTATGTATTTCTTGCTTGAAGGGCAAATTCACTAAGCTGCCATTTCCTGTACATGTTTCTAAGTCTTCAATTCCTTTTGAAGTAATCCACACGGATGTATGGGGCCCTGCTCCTGCTTTGTCTTTAGAAGGTTTTAAGTACTATGTCTCTTTCATCGATGAATGTACTCGATATACATGGATCTTTCCTCTTATTAATAAAGCTTCTGTGTTTGGCCTCTTTGCTCAGTTTCAAGCTTTTGTGGTCAATTTCTTTGATAAATCTATTAAAATTCTGCAAAGTGATGGTGGTGGAGAGTATCTTAGTAATTCTTTTCAGTCTTTTCTTAAATCCAAGGGCATAGTTCATCAGATTTCCTGTCCATATACACCTGAGCAAAATGGCTTAGCTGAAAGAAAGAATAGGCATGTGGTTGAAACAACTATTACTCTTCTTCAGCAAGCTTCTTTACCTGATCCATTTTGGTATCATGCTTGTGCTACTGCAACCTATCTTATCAATAGGATGCCTACACCTAGTCTTGACATGAAATCTCCCTTTGAAGTCCTATTTCATTCTGCACCTAGGTTAGATCACTTAAGGGTGTTTGGTTGTGCCTGTTATCCTTCTTTAAAACCTTATCGGGCTACTAAACTTGATCCAAAGACCACTCAGTGCATTTTCTTGGGTTATGCTGCATAGTATAAAGGTTACATTTGCTTTGATGTTTCCAAACACAAATTGATGGTTTCCCGCCATGTGTTATTTGATGAAACTCAGTATCCTATCTTGTCTTCCACTTTGCCTAATTCATCTTCTTCTTCCACTGTTTCTAACTCACCACCACATATTGTTCATCCTAATACCTTTCACCAGTATCCCATTATCCCTATCCCCTTACCAAATGTTTTTCAGACACCTGCTGCATCTCCTCATGTTACTCAGTCCAGTTCTCTCAACCATGGTGATCTTGTCTCTGCTAGTGCTCCTTCATCAGTCAATGATCGGTCTGATTCTCCTTCTGTATTGGAATTACATCCCGACACTACCATGTCTCAGGTTCCTGATTTACAACCTGTGCTTCTTGCTGCTACAAATTGTCACCCTATGCAGACTCGATCCAAGTCTGGCATTTTTAAGAAGAAACAAGGATTCACAGCTTCAGTTCCATCTCATAGTAGCACAGAACCACACACTTTTGCTGCAGCTTCCAAGTCTAATGAGTGGAAACAGGCTATGCAAGAGGAAATTGATGCATTAATTCAACAGAAGACTTGGTCACTTGTTCCTCTTCCTCCACATAAAAATCGTGTAGGCTGCAAATGGATCTATAAGATCAAGAGACATCCTGATGGATCTGTTGCTCGGCACAAGGCCCGCCTAGTGGCACAAGGGTTTTCTCAAGAAGTAGGACTTGATTACTATGAAACATTCAGTCCTGTGGTTAAACCAACCACAGTACGACTGATGTTATCTTTGGCAGCAACTAAAGGTTGGCCTTTGCATCAACTTGATGTCAAGAATGCTTTTTTACATGGCTTTCTTGAGGAGGAAGTCTATATGTCTCAGCCTCCGGGATTTGTGGATAGAGATCACCCTGAGTATGTTTGCAAGTTACAAAGGTCCCTCTATGGTCTTAAACAAGCTCCAAGAGCTTGGAATGATCGGTTTACCTCTGTTCTGCTTTCTCTTGGTTTTAAAGCTTTTTCTGCTGATCCATCTCTCTTTGTCCAGCATGATGGTCTTCATATGGTTGTGTTGTTGTTATATGTGGATGATATCATCCTTACTGGAGATCATGCTGATAGTATACAATCTGTGATCCGCCATTTGACCAAGGCATTTGATATGAAAGACTTAGGTCTTCTTCATTATTTCCTAGGTCTGCAAATTGAATATCATCCACAGGGGTTATTTGTTCATCAGTCTAAATATGTACAGGACTTGTTGCAGAAGACAGACATGGTTCAATGTAAGTCTTGCACTACTCCATGTCATCCACATCAGAAATTACTCAAT